TTTTGATAAACTTCTGCAATTGAACCATACAGATAACAAGGTAGTGATGGTTGCTGAGTGTATAAAGTTGCACATCAGAATTCAGATTCCATGTGTCACTGGTGAGTAGGTCAGATCTGGAATAGCACTGATAGCGTTGGTAGTGAGCACTGACCATTCAGGAAAAGGGAATTCGTTCTGTATACAAAGGCTTTTATGCAGCCATCACACGATCCAGGCACAATATGACCATGGTCAGTGTTGATCAGTGATAAGACTTTAAAACCAAGAAAACCTGAAGCAACTGTAAGATTGCAAAACTTCGTTTATTATTGGGATTTACTGTGGGTTCTGAAAGAAGGAAGGATAGAAAAAGCAGAGAAAATCAGCTTTTACTGTGCAATATTCTTGTGAAGCTAAGTGTTTTTGTTTTGCCCTTCCCGTGACCCTGCATTTTACAGGTAGGGTAACAATTTTCTTTTGCAGAAAAGGCAGATGTTCTTCTCCTGCGTGCTGCTCTGCCATCGCATTTCCATCTTCAGCTCTCTGAAATAGAGTTCCATGAGATTATTGGCTCAGGTACTAGAAATAAGAATGCATCCATTTTTACGTATCTGATACTCACAAGAAATATCTTTATACTTATTTATTTTAAATCATTTTAGGTTCTTTTGGAAAAGTATACAAAGGACGATGCAGAAATAAAATTGTAGCAATCAAACGGTAGGTTTCTCAAACCGTTCTCCATTTCGTTTTCTTAATGCTGTAGTTTGAGGTATTTGAAAGATGACATTTTTGCCCTGCTGTTTTCTCCTCCCGTAACTGCGAAGCTACCGCGCCAACACCTACTGCTCCAAGTCGGACGTGGACATGTTTTGCCGTGAGGTCTCCATTCTCTGCCGACTGAACCATCCCTGTGTCATACAGTTTGTTGGAGCCTGCTTGGACGACCCGAGCCAGTTTGCCATAGTCACGCAGTATATTTCTGGAGGATCACTCTTTTCCCTGCTCCATGAACAGAAAAGGTATCTTAGCCATTCTTTGCATGTACAGAATTCTGAAGATTAGTAAATCTGTGTCAATGCAGATTTGTTCCTTATCAATGAAGAGTGAAAGGAACACTCAATAAAATTTATTTCTTTAATTCACATTATTTGGTATACAAGGGAAAATAGTAACTAATGACAGTAATTATTTGGTTGTTATTATTTTACAGTAAATATTTTTATATTACATATATTATAAAACATTCTTTTGTATTCAAGATTTTTAAAGGGACCGTGATTTACAGATAATTTTCAGTTTGTCTGTAAATTTTGAGTAATGTTATAATTGTTTCAAATTCTAGGACTCTTGATCTTCAGTCTAAATTAATCATTGCTGTAGATGTTGCCAAAGGCATGGAGTATCTTCACAACCTCACACAACCAATCATACACCGTGATTTGAACAGGTAAGTCCCTCTCTTCTGGAATTTGGGGGCGTTGAACGTTGCATGAGGTGTGTGTGCTGCTCGCTCACATTAGCTGCCTGTCAGACCGGTGCAGTGGGGCTGGATAAATCCCAGTCCTGCTGGATAAATCCCAGTCCTGCA